TACTACGCTTGATAAATTATAGTGGAATTCTATGATATTGATGTAGTAATATATGATTTTTTAGTTATATATAAAGTATATATAAAACCTAAAAAAATTATTTTGTTTCATATCCTCCACGTGCAAAATTTGCAAAGGCTTAGCAACCTACGTCAACCAGGAACCGAGTACAAAGGTCGTAACAAGAAGATATACTTGTTTGCTTTACTTCTTTATTTACTGTTCTATGTTTTAAGAAAAATAAGTTTAAGAACTTTTTCAAAATAGGAATAATCTTAATACATATTAAATGTATAATAATTGAAATGTGACTGTATTTTACTAAATACTACTCTACTAAAACACAGCAAAGACAAGTACAGACCAAAGGTCAGTTTTATGTTATTTGATACGGAACATGAGTGCACGTGAGCCGTGTCATTGTAACTTCTCTATTGTTAGCCAGGCACAGCTAAAAGGTCAATATAATAAAAATAATAAATATATATAAATGTATAATTTTATGATATTTAAGCTAGTTTTTTTCATAACGAGAGTTCAAAGCAATTGTTTTAAAGATGATAGTTATGACAAGTTTGTTTACATAACTCTGTAAGAGTCGTACACTGTGTTTATAATTCATTGATGTTGAGACAATCGATTGTCTCATGCAATCTATTGATGTTGAGAATATAGATTCCTAGAAGGCTTAAGTGGTAGATGTATAAATAGCTGGCAAGCAGACAAAAACAGAGCAGAAGAGAGTAATCTCACGGGAAGAAGAAATTCAGAGAAAAGTTAATTGTCGTGGGAGTGAAAGGCCTAATGGTTGATATCTCAACTTCGTAAGAGATAAGGAGAATAAGTTGTCTCATCAAAAGGTGTTCTAAAGTAATTGAACCAGCCTGAGTGGACTTTGACAAAAGACAGATGATTCTTGGAAATACAAAAAAGGGACCAGACAATTTTTTAAGTACAGGATAATTGTAACTCAACAACAATGTAAGTGAACTATACACAGTAATCTGGTGATAGAAATAGAGAAAAATAGTTCAGCTTGTCAACTGAATTCTAAAGCAATTGAATAGGCCTAAGTGGACTTTTGACAAATATCAAGAGGTACCAACAAATCATAATATGCCAATATGTGAAGGCTATGTTGGAGACAAAAAAGTGAAGTTTCTACGAGACACTGGGTGCAGTAGTGAGAACCAGTCTAGTATCCAATGGTCAGATGATGGGCAAGGTATGCCTGTATGTGCTAATTGATGAAACAGTGAGAAATTTTTCCATAGCAAAAATATAGGTGGATACTCTGT